AGTAGTGATGTTTGTTTTACTGTTCCCAAAAGATAATTATCAAGATAAATAATGCATATGAAAAAATTGTTCAGACTTGGATATGTCTGAAAATGTCTCACTTCTTAGTGTTTTGAACATCATTAAGTATTGGTAAAGGGTTGACAAGATGGCTCAGAGGGTAAAGCCCATTGCTGCCAAGTCTGAGGATCTGAACTTTGACCCAGAGGACACACATCATAGAAGGAAAGAACTGACTCCTGCAAGTTGTCCTCTGACCTCCTCACACATGTCATGGCATGGGCGCTCCAATACAAATATGTGCACATAAATATAATAAAAAATCATAAGTTATAACTCCCTCACAGTGTAAAATAATAGACTTGAAAGAATAAATTCACTTATTAACTCACTTCAACACTTTAATTTACTTCATTTTTTTATGTATTTTTTCTGAAGTGTCATGTTCATTCTAAAAATTTTTTTCTCCAAATTTATGAATAACAGTGAGATGGCTTAACAGAGAAAGGTAATTGTCATCACACTTGATAACCTGAGTCTCTGAGGCCCACCTGGTAAAAAGGTAAAAGCCCAACCCCTCCAAGTTAGCTTCTGACTTTACATGCTTCCCACAGCATGTGTGTCACACACACATGCACACACAATAGATAGATAGATAGATAGATAGATAGATAGATAGATAGATAGAAGATAGATAGACAGACAGACAGATAGATAATAGATAAATGTGAAGAAAGAATTGCGTACATTATTCAGAAAAAGCATGCCCATATAGGAAGCCACTAATTTGTGAAATTATTGGTGTCATATCCCTAAACATTGTGATTGGTAGGGTATCAAAGAGACCAATAGACAGAGCTGTTCAAGTTTCTCTAGACAGTTCATCACAGAAATGAAGCTTTAAGGGGACTATAGCTGTAGGAGCCACGTGTGTGGATAACCTTCTATAAAGAGATGCTGCCACTGCTAAAGACCAAGACTGTTTCCCACTGTCTGAAAAACAGACCTGAAAATAAATGAACACGATATTTGAACCCAGTGTTCAGACAAGTAGGTAGACAGGAACAGCAAGTTCGCTGCTTCACTAGGAGTGAGGAGAATAGGTTTTGTTTTTCTCTATTTCAAATTCTTAAATTCTTTGTGCAAAAAGATGATAGAGGTGATGAAATACACAACAGATCTGTCTTGATGGTGTTTAATTTTATGTTTAGCTTCTTACATTGTAAATTAAATATGCAATGTGATGTCATTCTCAGCAAAAGCAAACCTGTCCCATTTTACATGACACCAATGGCTACTTATTAGGAGGAACTCTTTGGACTGGTTGCAATAGGTGAAGAGATAAATTAGTCAACTAGTTTCCCTGTATCCCAGCATTTGGTATGTTAAACTGTGTTCTATGTCACCTTCTAAGAGAAAACACACAAATTCATAGATACAACTTCTTCTTGCAGTAAGACATCCAATAAGATGGAATAAGGACTGTGATTTTCCTGAAATAACAGTAGCCCATGGGGTTCAGGTAACTTCTAATCCCTAATATTTTAGGTCTGTTATTACCTTAGATGACTCTACTCTTTAAGAAAGATTACTCTAAATAATTCTTCTGTGGCTCATGTCATCCATATAGCTAAAACTACTTTGTGAGCTTCTAGATAGCTATTTAAATACATATTTCACAAAATTCTTGGCACTTTCTCTCTATTTATAATGATTGTGAAATCTTACTAGTTACTCTTTATACACAAACAAATGATTAAACACATGTGGGTACACACATGCTCACACACAGACTCAAGTAGTATGGCAAATTCAAGAATACAATGTATTGGATTTTTACTTGATATAAGAATCCCTAAAACAAAGCAAAACAAAACAAAACAAAAAACAACAAAAATCTTCCAAAGAAAATGCTTCTTTTTCAAGTAGTCTTCATGTATATCATTTGGTAGATGAACAATTTTTGATATAGAAAGATTTTAAGTACAGGGGATTGGGTTTTAATTAAGTAATAGAGTGTCTGCTTGCTACATACAAGGCACTGGTACCTTTTCAAGAATTCATATCTAAATATAACCTGAATTTCTTTTCACTTGGTGTGATCAAACATAGACTTATAATTAAAGAAAAATTATCAGAAGAATTAGAAAAATAATTATAAATGCACATACAAGATACCACAACTTGATGAATTTGTTATATAGATAAATTTAATTAGAATACATTTATTGAGTAAACTACCAAGATATTCTTCCATGCCATATCATTTAAGCTTTACAAATATGCTCTCTCCTTAGAGCATGCTAGTATATTATATACTCATTAAGCATTTTATATGAGAAAACAAGCATTTTGTCTTTATTTTCTATAGCAGATACAAAAATCTATTTAACAAATACATTTCTGAATATAATACAAAGCACACATGCCCAGAAATAGAAAAAAAGTAGCTCAAAGAAAGCAATTCCTTAGCATGTAAAAACTATGCTTCAAATAGTAAAAATCCAAGGTAGTGATATTGAGAAAAATACAGAATGTGAAATTAGTAAGATATAAATTATTATGATAATGAAAACACTGAAACTTCAGTAGAAAAATTAGAGAAGCTGATGTACAACACAATTTCCTCACCTAAGGCTCAGGGATATCACAGAAGATGGGGTGGAAAGACTGTAGCAGTCAGAGGACCAGGCAAACTGCTGTGAAATTGTCTCGTAGAAAGGACAGGGCACCTTCACCAATGATACCTCGGCAATATGGCTGCCTAAACAAGACCAGAAGAAGCACAACATCAATAGACATTGCTAGCACGGAAGGAGGAAATACCCAGAGACCTATCCCTAGACAGGGAACTACAGACGACTAAGGGATGCTGAAACTGAAAGAAAGAGTTCTCCCCAGGGGTGAGCCTTTAGTTGATTATCCAATGCCGATTGGTCAGCCCTGAAATCATGTACTACTGAGTAAACAAGTTGAGAAGACTGTATTCGTAATTTTACACACACACACACACACACACACACACACACACACACACACACACACACCCAAAGCAACTAAAGAATAAGACGCCATGATTTTGAGAGGAAGAATGGTGGGGGATGGGCAGACAAAGGGATAGAGGGAGGAAGGGAAGGGAAAAATGATGTAACTATATTTTATTTTTTGAAAATAGAGAAATAATACAAAGAAAGAATAATTCATTGAAGATATTCAGTCCTGAGGGATGGTTAGGTGGCTCAGTGGGAAAAGAGCTTGCTATAATGAGCATGAGGTCCGAAGTTCAGAACCCAAGTAAAAAAAATCAGGGCAGGCATAGTGGCTGTTTGCCATCCCAGTACTTGGGAAGCAAATTCAAGGGATGTCTGGAGCAAACAAGCTAGTTAGACTAAATGATCAGTGAACTGCTGTGGATATTGTTCTGTGTAAATAAAACACTGATTGGCCAGTGGCCAGGCAGGAAGTATAGGCGAGACAAGGAGAGAGGAGAATTCTGGGAAGTGGAAGGCTGAGACAGGGAGACACTGCCAGCTGCCACCATGACAGCAGCATGTGAAGATGCTGGTAAGTCATGAGCCACATGGCAAGGTATAGATTTATAGAAATGGATTAATTTAAGATGTAAGAGCTAGATAGCTAGAAGTCTACCACGGCCATACAGTTTTTAAGCAGTATAAGTCTCTGTGTTTACTTGGTTGGGTCTGAGCAGCTGTGGGACTAGCAGGTGACAGAGATTTGTCCTGACTGTGGGCCAGGCAGGAAAACTCTAGCTACAGTGAGCTCTGAATTTATTTGAGAGAACCTGCATTAATAAATAAAGTGGAAGGGGTTGAGGACATCACCTTCTGTCAATTCCTGCCTTTCCCCAGACATGGACACCAATGCATGTACACCCTCACATATAGGTGGGCACACACATGAGAAATACATTCACACTCACAACTCATATGTATATACATGCACAAAAATAAGTCCAAGCAACATTCTAAGCCAACATAATTTCATGAAGCCTTGTGAAGAGAGCTGATATACTGTGATACATTATGTTATGATTTATTAATGTGTGTTTTCATCTGAGAATTCTATAGAAAGAAAAATTGGACATTCTACATGTCAAATTACCCTTTGGAGAGTCATAGTGCTTCAAAAGTAGCTTAGAACTCACACATTAATTAGAATGATTTTTCATTATGGTATACACAACATAAAATGTATTTTAAAGCATATGGTTCAACTACACTTAGTACATTAATTCTCTGGTTCCAGCTGTACAGCTTTTCAATCAAAACCTGACTGAATCTATTTCCTTGCAGGAAATGTATTCCACTTTTTAATTGGTGTGTCTAAAGGAGAATATATTCATGGAAAAGCTAATCAAATCTTCTCTTTTTAAAAATTAGAAAAATGTTGAGAGATTAAATGCCTTTCTTAAAATCACATTGGTAGTTAAGACAGCACACATCTTAGCTGGGTTTCCCATTTCTGAGGACAGGGTATTTGGTATTTCAAGAAACTTTCCCTGTTTCCGTTTCTGTTCCTGTTCAGATGATTTAATAAGCTAAGAAGTATATGCTGACATTTTTCATAGAAGAGTTTTAAGATTCAGATAAGCATCTTGGGCTGAGGATATAGCTCAGTCAATAAAATGCTTGCATGGCAACCTTGAGGACCTGAGTTCAACCCCGAGATTCTAGGTAAGAAAGCTGGCCTGGAGCCTGTAATCCTGGTTTCAAGAAAATGGAGTTGGGTCCTGGTCCTCACTGAAGAGCTTAGTAGGTGAGCTCCAGGCCAAAAAGAGACCTTGTCTCAAAGGATAGTGTTCCTAAGGTGGTCCTTAGGCCTCGACACATGTCTGCACATCAGCAGACTCATGCCCACACACTTAAAATAGGCACCTAAGATTTAAAAGTTATACTATGCTTGCTTTATGACTTTATCGTTGTGATTTTCTTATGAGAACTTTCATTGTAATAACTCTAATCACATGATTCTCTTCTTAGGTCTATTTAAGGTCATGGCTGATAAAACTCCATACCTTACAATGGAAGAAATCACAAGAACCATTCAAATCGGACCCAGCAGACTGGGACATCCTTGTTTTTATCACCTGAAGGATATACAACTAGAGAATCTCACCATAAAGCAGGGTGAGCCAATAAGGCTCAACTCAGTGGAAGAGATTGATGGAGAAATACTGGTGAATTGTGGTGTGGTAAGGAGTCATCAGAGTCACTCATTTACTTTGCCATTGTCACAAGAAGGAGAATTCTATGAGTGTGAGGATGAACATATTTATACCCTAAAAGAAATTGTTGAATGGAAGATTCCCAAGAACAGAACACGGACTGTGAAACTTACAAATTTCTCAAATAAGTGGGACTCACCCAATCCATTCCCTGAAGACTTTTATGGGACTTTGATTCTCAAGCCTGTTTATGAAATCCAAGGTGTGCTGAAATGTAAGTATACACTGATAATGATACCCTGGGTGAGTGAGCGTTGTGTGGCTTTGTGCAGAATCCCACAATGGATTTAGAAACTGAAGAATGGGACTCTGTCCCCATCGTTCATTAAGTCTCTTAGATTCTTCATCTGTGCTTAAGAAAACCACAGACAGATCTTTTTTAAGGAGCAAATGAAGTAGTGAGTATGCAGTTTATATTATAAACTGTATAATGCTATTCAAGCCCAGGATGCTGTAACTATCAGCTATAGGTAGACTAAAATGCTAGTTCTCTTTTTTACTGGTTATTAAGAGTTAATTTTTAAAATGAGCATCCAAAAGCAGCTTTCTTGTTTTTTCACACAGTGTCCTTGACTTCTATTTCATGACAACTTTTTTTAAATTTCAGCCTCTTATGACTAGTCACAATTTCTTTTATCATAGATTCTCTGACTTAAGGAAGAAGGTATGGTAAATTAATTTTCAAACTGTTGTATTTCAATATGCAATCTTCATTGATTTTTTTTATATTTTAAAAGTATCTGCATAAAGCATTGTTACTCCAAAGATATTACTACTTCAAAATTTCAAGCTTATGGTATGTAAATGAGGCAATTAGTGGATTATAGAATTCTGAGCCTGGTTCTAGTCAAGCCTGATAGCATGCCCAATAGTCCTAGCTTCTCTGGAGACAGAGGAAGGAAGATGGCAAGTTCAGGCCTGCCTGGGTGAGTGACACAGAGAGTCCAAGACCATCCTGGTCAACTTAGCAAGACTCTGTCTCAAATAAGAAAAAAGGAGCACAGAATACAGCTGAGGACAATTGCTTAATATAGGTGAGACCCAAGGCTCAATAACTTTCAAAAGGGGAGCTTTGAACGAGTTGTGTTTGCCCCATAAAGTTGTTTCCAAAGTGAAATAAAGTAGTACTGAAGAACTTAAGATAATTAAGCATGTCAAGAGATACCTCCTTAAATGTCTCAAAATTGATTTTTCTCTTCCCTTATTGTTCTTATACACTTACAAAAAGAAATTATGTGAATCTTTTGACAGGTTTTAGAGTTGTGTGTTAAATTCTATCATGCTAAAAGATTTAATTAAAATTTGATCAATTCATTTTGATCTAAAGGTAGGAGAACAGTTTGCATGGTTTGATTTTATAAAATATTGAGACCACTGTAAATTTTAGAACTCATAGTAGTGTTCTGTTAGTAGTCCCAAAACAGGAAACTGAGATGGATGATTGAGTTTTTCTTACTGGTCATGAATAATAGATAGCATTTTCTTATTTTCAAATCAGTGAATTTTCTAAAGTTATCATCTTGTACCTACTACATGCTTATAAATAAGAACAAACCTAGGGGGGCTAGAGAGATGGCTCAGAGGTTAAGAGCACTGACTGCTCTTCCAGAGGTCCTGAGTTCAATTCCTAGCAACCACATGGTGGCTCACAACCATCTTAAATGAGATCTGGTGCCCTCTTCTGGCCTGCAGTCATACATGTTGTACACATAATAAATAAATAAATCTTTAAAAAAAAAAAAAAAAAAAAAAAGAACAAACCTAGAACCCAAACATGTGGACAGAGGGGATAGAACTTTTAATGAATTCGGATTATGAATCAAGGGCTGATAGATGGATGAGAAGTAGTAAAATGATGCAAAGACAAATTTAAAGACCCACTGCAAAGGCAACTTGGAGAGTGGGTAAGCAAGTGAGTGGAAATTCAGCACAGCTTTATGAAAAAAAGAGAGCAGACAGAGATAAACATAAAAATACGAATGGCGAGTGTGTGTGTGTGTGTGTGTGTGTGTGTGTGTGTGTGTGTGTGTGTGTGTAACCATCCACATAAGGTCATGAAGTCTGTCCAAAGAGATAAACTTGAGATTTATTCTAATCAAGAAAGATTGTTAAGCTGGGAGAGGCAGAACATAGGAGCATAGCAATTCCATTAGGAAATTCAGTTGGATTAGAGTTCTGTTCAGTGGACATAGCAATGGGAAAGACAGGAAACACAGATGTGCTGAGTATGTACAAGATGTACCATCTGCAGGGTCTAGAAGTCTATTGGATGGGAACTTGGTCAACTGATCAACCTTATTCTCAGGCTTTGATTTCATCTCCTGGTTGAATGGATATACATTTATTAAATATGGACAGCATAAGAAAAGGGTTTGTTAAAAGAATTGTTTAGGTAGATTATTTTAAATAGAGTTTTCTGCTAACCAAGGAACAACCTTTGGCTAAACATCCTTCATGAAATGTTTTAGCCCTGTTCCTACTATGTATTAGAGTTAAGTTTTCAGGTTCCTTATGCTGGGCCTCTTTTTTGGAAAATATTTCAATGTTACTTCTTAACTATATTGCCAGCTCAGGATATGCACTGTCAGAGACTAGCTTGCATGTATATAGACTGCAGAATATATCATGAAAAAAAGGATGGGAGCCTGCCACAAGTGCCCCATTAAAAAAAGAAACTTTTGTGTGATAGGTGTTTTCCCCTAAATATGACAAGGAAGTGATGCTTTCACTCCATTGTGGCTTTCTTTTGCATTATTTTTTTTTTGATTGAGGTTAGATACTCCTTGAACTCAAGAGACACTGTACAGTTGCTTCTGCTGTGCCTGAGCATCAGTGTAAGCCCCTTAGAATTGAGTGTTTTTCCCCCAAAGTGACAGTTAAAAAAGAACTGGTCTGGGAGGGTTAGGATGTTTTACAGTAACCTTAGAGGAAGATGGAAAATCATGGGACACTAAAGAGCTATGAAATACTGATTTCTTGAAAGAAAAAAAAAAGAACATGGTAAGTACTAAAAAGAGGGAATACAAATATTTTACTCTTAAAGCTGGTCTTTAATATGTTATTAATGTGACAATTTATATCCCAGAGAAAAGAAAAGCAGCAGAAACAATGCAGCAGTTCCCAACCTGTGGGTCACAATCCCTTTGGCTCTCAAATGACTCTTTCACAGGGATCACCTAAGACTATCGGAAAACACAGTTTTTACATTATGATTCATAACAGTAGCAAAATTATAGTTATGAAGTAGCAATGAAAATAATTTTATGCTTGGGGGGGTCACCACAGCATGAGGAACTGTATTAAAGGGTCAGAGCATTAGGAAGGCTGAGAATCGCTGTGTTAAAGGGAAAAACATATTCCTGGTTTCTGGTCAAAATTCCATTCTAGGCCTAATATCTTCCTGGCTACCAGACATGCTCAGAGATTGGTCAAAGTGTTACCATGGTCTCAGGATAAGTAACTATCCCAAATCTGTAACTATTGGTCTCATATAAATAATTTCAATATGTGTGTTTTAGTTAGGGTTTCTCTTGCTGTGAAGCAACACCATGACCATGGCAACTCATAAAGAAAAACATTTCATTGGGGTGGCTTGCTCACAGTTCAGGGGTTTAGACCATTATCATTGTGGCAGGAAGCAAGGCAGCATTTGCAGACATGGTGCTGGAGGAACTGAGGGTTCTTAAATCTTGACCCACAGGCAACAGGAGGTGATCTGGGACACTGGACATGGCTTGAACATATATGAGACCTCAAAGTCCACTCTCCACAGTGACACACTTCCTCAAACAAGGCCATTCCTACTCCGAAAAAGGCACACTTCCTAATAGTGTCACTCCTGTGAACTTATGGAGGCCAACTACATTCAAACTACCACAAAGTGTTTCTGCCTTTGAAAAAAGATATGAAATTCATGTGATTGGGCACATGGAAATTTCAATATTTACAAATTTAAGTTTGCTTTATAAAAAATAGAGGTCTTGAATATTGACTTTGTTAACATTATGTTTTGATGCATGGATTAATAATTAGTTACTTCTTAACTAATGAAATTCAGCATCATACAGATCCCTTTCAGAGAAAAGCTTAATGCTGCTCAAAGCTTGGGGGCTCAGTCTTCATGAAGTTATAGAAAGACATCTACTCATGCAAGAAGCAGATGGTTAAAACCACTAAGTAAAAAGGAGACTCAGAAAGATAGCTTTGGATATTGTATTTTAGATAAGTGAATAGGATAAAAATACTCCCATTTGTGGTTTCCTAAGGCCTTAGGCATCACTATGCAGTTTCCTTTCTTTCTGTCACTTAGTTTTAAAAATACTTTCAACTTTTTATAAAAATCAAAAAGCTGAGTAATACCCAAGAAAGATATGACAAAGTCACATGGAAACCTTATGGCTTTGACGGTTCTCAAATTTCCCCTACCTTCTCCTACTCTGAGGTAACTCTTGTTAGTATTTTCTTCCCTGCTTTCTGGAATTGCTTTCCCATTCCCTAATAATAGGAACATTGATGGTTTTCAAGTCATGGGCCATTTTAGATAGTAATGACTAACTTTCTCATATGGCCATGGGCATGTATCTCCTCTTCTTATTTCCCATTTCCAAGCTCACAGTGCATGGTGTCACATCTCAACACCAGTATTTTTGTTAATATGATTGTGACTCAAGCAGTTTATGATGAGTATTGCTCTTTTCCTGTCATGATGACCTTGTTGTTCCCTGACTGGACTTTTTCAATCCTTCCCTACATCTCCAACCTTTCTGTTGAAAGGGAGAAAAAAGAAACCCAGCCAATGCAATTTCCCAGAGTGAAGATGTCAGTCGATCTCTATTTTTCCCTTGAGGGCATTCCTTCTGGGGTCTCTCATCCTTACTCCCGCCTTAATCTGCTGCCATAGACATATTATATAGGGGCTTCCATTACAAACCATCCGGACAGTGCCTTTCTCTGCCTTGCATTTGTGTTGAATAGTTGTTTCTCTAATCAAATACGGAAATTCCCCTTTATTTTCTGCCCATCCTCTACACACATCCTAAGATAAGTAAAGAAACTGCAGGTTTGAAAATTTTTTATCTCCCATGCCCACACATGTGACAGACAGGTTAGCCACTATAAAATTCTAGGTGGACAACGATTTCCTGAAATCTCTGTTCCTCCCTCTTCCGTGATTGCCTTTGAGAGACTGTGGCATCCTGTGGTCTCCACTGTGGG